ACATTAAATAATCTACAATACAAGTAAGCCTTGATAGGGCGTTGATTTTGGTATTGAATTGGTTAGGGTTATCGCATCTTTGTGTATATTTTCAAGGATTTTTAAGACTTTTCTGTTCATATTAGTCCATGTTTCACACCCATAAAAGATTTTAGGGATAAGTACACTTTCAATCAATCTTATGCTTATTTTCATGCCTTGTTTTTCGAACGCTGGTTGGCTGATTAAGAATTTTATTTAATTAATGATTGCCTTTGCTGAATTTTTCCTGCTATTAATGCATTTCTCTACTGTTTCTCTGTTATTTCTTATATCTTCTAAGTATTTATATCTTATCTTGCAAGTTGCATAACACTGTGAGTAAAAGTGCTCTATCGTGGTAAAACATTTCCGCATTTTATTGCAATGACATAAAATCCATCCTCGAACTTGAGAAAGAAAGTTTATCGGGAAGTTGATATCAATTTTCAAATAATTACAGAAACAGCGAGAACTCCTACACACTATCCATCGAGGGGCAATTCACTTTTGAAATAGCGTACGAGATTTTCCCTAAAACAAAAGGATTTCCAGGGATTTTCAGATATAACAATAGGATTTTCACAAAAGGTGTACGAGATTTTCTTGGAGTGATTTGCCCCTCGCTACCCATCACTACAGTAAAAGCACAGTTTTACAGCTACAAAATATTCAGCTTTTATGTTCTGCCAATTGAATTGCTGTTTTACATTGAATCAATATGACTCAATATACGAAAACTCGCATTAATCTCTCTTTTAGTTGATAAATGCAAACATTTCTTTGTTATCATTAAAAGCGTCCAGATAGATTTGAGAGAAGTGAAGCTGTCGCTTTGACGACAAAGCTTACCATTCTTTTTATCTTGTACCATATGTATTCTGATCATTCTTTATTCTGTTTACAAAAAAATGTTTTCATTTGAAGAGGCAAAAACAGAATTTGATAGAATTTTGCATAAAACAAACTTTTATTGTGCTTTTGAAGAAATATCCATCTCACCAGCTGGTTTCAATTCCAGATTTGTGGCTCTTTAAGCGTAAAAAGGGGGAGGGGGGTCTGCATTGAAAAAATCCTTTCCTAACCAGACCATCTCAATAAAGCTGTTCCATCTCAATAAAGCAACCGTATTCGGGAAGGATCAATGCTAACCCCCTCCCCTGAACGTTTAGCATCCACTACGCCCATGCTTTGTTTTTTACTCTCTTGCGCACGCATGGCTTCAACCTTCCTACATACCCTGTAGATCTTCTACGGTTACGTCATTTGGGAAAGTAATTTGAAAAATCGAAGCTTTTTTTCATTTATATCTAGTGGCGCAGATCTGCAACCTGTTTAAGAATATTTTATAAGCATACGAAAAACATTGATACCAAAATTTTCACTCAAACTAACACTAACCGAGAATGCTCATGAATTAGTGAGTTTGTTTTGCTTCCTGGAAACACATACTTGTAAGAAATTGTATGGTATGACGTACTACAGTAGTTGTTGCTGTTGTTGTCTTTTAATGTACACGTGAAGTATGCGTTCGGATAGATTTGAGTTGAAGTTGATTAGAGAAGACCTAAGTTAGAATCTACGGAATTATACAGTCCTCTATTGGAATTAGAATAGAAGCCTGAACCATATATCGTTGTCTTTCTTATCCTTTATCTACTATCTGTAGTACTGAACTTGAGTCACCAGCATATATAGCAATTTCGCACAATACTAGGCTTGCTTTATTAAACGAATTTCAAAGCTTCCAACATCATTTTCACCTCCTTTAAAATAGATCTTAAATATTCTATTTTTGTTCAGCAAAAATGGTTATGTGAATCTACTGCTCTTACTGAATGGCTGATATCTCTTAAGAAATCTGATGTTTCTGACAGTTGGCATCATAAAATTGCGTAATAGGTCACCAAAGGTAAATTGAAGACTAGTCTGAAGAATCCGTTAAAGAAACTCCTCTGTAGTTCACTTAAAGACGTAGCCTTTCTAGGGACTTTAGCCAGGGAGTATTGCCTATAGTTAGGGATGTTTGCCGATTGTCTAAAACAATATATTGTTGCTAAGAAATACTTCAAGGAACAATCCTTGTTTTTCGTATGATCCAAAGCTCGGGTATTGTTCTTATTTCAACAATGATGATTTTTCTACAGCTACAAAATAAGTTTGTTTTTGAGATCACTAATTAAGAGTTTATCACGACATTTTTAGTAACACAAAAGAAATCTTCAAAAATACTTTGTCATTTTTCAACTGTTCATCTGAACCTAAACATGTTCTTACACTGTTCATGTTATTTGGGCAAATCGAGGGTCGTTGTTATTATAAAACGTGTTCTGTTCTGAGAGTCTGCTGAGTTTCGAGGTATTCATCACACTAGAAAGTGGTATGCTTGCGTAATCCTATTCTTCTGACAAAGAGAAATTTGGCTCCATTGAAGTCATGCCTTTCAATATATGAAATGACGCAAACAATCTGCAGAAGAGGTTTCACGTGTTTAACCTTTCTGATCAAACCTTTGGCTAGCTAGGCTTACATTAGATTAGCCTCGCAATTTGCAAAGGGTCAAATTGACTCATGCTTTGAGTTGAGCCAAAAGAAGATCATTGAAAAACAAACAAGGAATCAAAAACAGTAAGTCAGTCGCAGAAATACATAAATATACACCAAGTAACGCACTCAATTAGCCAAAATATACGAACACAGTCATTCCGTAATCAGATTTTTACACATACTAGATGGTAAGACAGCTGACTTTTGGTAAACAGCCTACCTTGGCATTGAATTCATTGCACTCAATGAAATAAAACTTAAAAGGGAATTAACATTATCTAGTGCTTGGTGCCACAATATGATGCCCCAGTTCGTCAGAAAATCAGGAAACAAGATGTCTTTTTAACGAACACAAAGAGGGCGTTCGGAGCTGGATTCTCATTTTTTTATGTAAATATTCCTATTTCCAAAAAGATTTTTTACTCTTTGTGTCCAAAAAGATCAAATCTCGAAACCCTATCCCTGGTCTTAGTTTCTACCAAAAATTCTTTTCCAATTTTTGAATAGAGATTGGTCCAAATTATACGTAAAGCTTAATTTAATAGCCTAATTAATAGTCAAATTATGAAGACAAAAAAGCCACCAAAAAATTCCAATAGCCACCAAAAGTAGCTGGAACACGGCGATTAAACATGAAATAGATGCATATTTTCAGTTTATTTCCCTATTTCAAGCAAACAGCCCCCCCCCCCCATTAAACCATTTTTGTAAGGAAGAGAAACATTTCGCTAAACATCGGTTACATAATTTATGCTCCAACCTACATTTGTTGTCATTTTTTAGTCGAAATCCAGCCATTGGACAGAAAGTCACAAATATCCAATTTGAGTTTTCTCCAAGCAATATTTAAAAAACTTCAATTTCCCATTTTCTAAATATTTTCTTGCCGTTTAGAATTAAAATAAATTCCGTGTACTGTAAAGATCAAACATTGCCAGAAGGGCCTGCAGTGGCACATGTGACGTCAGACTACATACATATAACAGCAGAAAAATGACGGTCGGAGATACAAGTCACTTCATTGTAAAAATATGAGAAAAAAACAGGGTTGTGTGTTATTCAGATGGTTCTGAAATGTTTCATTTTCAGCAATTAAAAACAGAAATGGGTGCTGCGAAACGATCAAATTCAAGTAAAAAAACGTTTCTGTTATCAGAAGAAGTTTAAATTTTTTTGCGAATCTACCTGTTGGGAAAAAGATGTCAACTGAGTGCTGCTCTAATGGCGAGACTATTAGAATGAATGAAAATAAGGGTCAGGTGATTACAGCAAAAAATGAGCCATCAATTTTCTTGCAAAGCGGCCGTAGAAGACTGTTCTCTGGTAAGGAAAAAATAATTGAGTTTATATAAATGCCACATCTCCTACAAGCGGCGTTTTCTCAAAAACTGTTCTGTTTTCGAATATTAAGAAAATTTAAATACTGCTATATACTTCTGTTGTTACTAAACCTCAATATATTAATAACATACGATGCCAAAGTTCCGTCATTTATGAATTTACTTGCCAGTATGATTCTGGCTACGTAGGACGCACAACCCAAAGATTGGGGGATAGGATAAAACAGCATGTTCCTTCCAACATAAGAAACAAAACTGCCCCTCAAAGAGAACAGCCTCCTCGATCTTGTAGGTCTAGAAACACTGTTAAAACAAGTGATTCTGCCATCGGTCAACATCTTTTAGACAACCCAGATTGTGCAAAACTGTATAATGACGACATGTTTCGGATAATTGGCAGAGCCCGGTCGTCCTTCCATCTAGCAGTTTTGGAGTCGATCTACATACAAACGAAAAAGCCGTCATTGTGTAGACAGAAGAAGTTCGTTTTCTCTCTTGGACTCCATTGGTAATTTTTCTCTAGGCTCGCGGCACTGATTTGTCAACTATACCGGTCTTGTGCTTGCGTTTTTCTGATTGGCCTATTTCGATCCACAACTGGGTATATATTTTCCATCGTGTTCTTTCGGAACCTTATTCTGACGTTTTATGCTCTGAGGAGTGTCAGACGAAAAAGCTTTTAGTATGTCGTAAAATGTTTGCTTTTTTCAAAGCCAAGTCCTGAGTGTATGATTCAACCGGTTTCTGTATCTTCCCGTTTTTTTATTCAAAAAGAGTATTGAAGGAAGCTGGCAGGTTTTTAGTTTGTACTTTTGCATAAATATGAGGAGTCGTCTTTTTTATTGGTAACATAATGAGTCCCATTTGATGCATACAACATCTCACTGTCTTTCACATTTGGTGAAATCTTATGAATTCTCTTGCAGCTTGTACATGGATGTTCTCTAATTCCTTAAATAGGCTTTCGCTGTATGTACCCCATGTGGCTATTGCATATGTTATGGTTGGTATTCTGTTATGAAGTAAATTTCTTGGGACAAGTATTTCAGATTTTTAATTTTTTTCATGAATTTGTGCCTGTTTATATCATGGCTCTCATTTTCTCAGGGTGAACAGTTAGCCTATTTTTGGCACACCATTGGTGTATGTCCCTCAGTATTGTCTGCAAATCTTTACATACTTCGTTCATCTCATCATACGTATCGTCAGCATACATATCAGCCTTCGAAAGCGGTCCAATAAGCGGTCCTTCTGGTCTGTGGCCGAGGCTTAGGAGAAATTTACGTCACTGCTTGGTTGTCAGAGTAGTTCCGCTTTCCAATCCCAAGAAACAAAAGAACTGCTCTGCAGTTAGGCTATACTCATACTCCACTGAGTGAACTCGCTATGGTTGAGTCAGACGAAATAATTGTTTTAGAATCTCTATTGGCCCATAAAGCAGGAGGGGACGGAGCAGCATGCAGACAGAAGGTATAAAAGGTCACTGTTTACCGTTGTCACTGTAAGGGTTCGTATGTCCTCGATGTTACCGTACGGTTTAGGCCCTTCCCTTTGAGCACCACCTCGAAGGCTACGTGCTGAACTTCTGGCTTTTACTCTGAACTTATGGATTTTTACTTCTTCTAAAAGATTTTTTAGATAGGCAAAAAAGGAAAGAAATTGACCGGTGTAAATTAACATTATTTTGGAAGCCATCTTCATAGCATGATGAGCTGGGCGCTGATGGTGGTGTGTTGATTCTGAAACTGAAGTTTCAAGCAAAATTTAGACAATGTAGGCTCACTTTCCAGTATTTTTATTTGCACTTGATATGCAATTCTTGTCCCTGCCTGTGTACCAAGTAGCTAAATTTAAATTTGATTGTAATTCAAAGGCTCACTACCAGAAAGGCACTCACTCTTTTGGGCAGAATAGAGCAATTAACAGTTTCAGTTTTTTATCATACAATTCTAAATACAATTCAACATTAATACTCGACAACTAAGATAAAAAAACAACTAATTTACAACTAAATCAGACTAAAATGAGTACAAAAAAACACATTACATGATTGTATTTAGGATTCAATGACTAAGGAGGAGCTCTCTAAGTAGATTAACTAATCGAGAGAGAGCCCCCCCCCCCTCTCAAAAAAGAAACAAAAAGAAAATAAAAACACTTTTAAGAACAAGACAGATGATAACCAAAGCCAGATGAACCGTTCTGAGATAAGGTTATAAGTAACATTGAGTTAGTTTTCTTTTCTTTGAGCTTCTTTCTCTAAATATTCCAATTGCCTGCTTTGCAGAAACGCTGGTGGCAGCTAAGTGATAGTGTTGATGAAGCCCGAGGTTATCTAGTTTGCAAGAACAGAAGTAAATGTAAGTAAAAATGATTTGAAAATGAGACTTTGACCAAAGATTATTGCTTGTCCAAATCTTCATAGCATTTGTTTTGTGCCACTTCACTGTTGTGAGAGAATGGCTTGGAACATAGGATAAGTTAAAATGTTGCTAATCAAAATTGGACAGGGGCATTTAATAGGTCCCCCTGCAGTTCTCAAGTCCAACAGTATTTACCTTTTTGCTAGATATGCAATCATCAGATCAGGTGGTTTGACCAGAAAAAGCACATAAAAAATGATGAACAAGTAATAGAACATAAAACTTTTTCATGAGACTTTTAGCAGGGGAGCAGTAAAAAGCTCTCCTAGTATCTGCAGATGAGCAATTTCTAGATGAAAAGGAATATAAATAAAGGAAAATTGATTTTAAGGAGGGTAATTTGCTTTTTAGAGCAATTTAGGAGAGCAATTTGCTGTTTAGAGTCTGTAGCTCTGCTCCAGCATTTGAAGAGAGCCTGAAGGGGAGCAAGATCTATGGCTCTCCTCAAATGGCCAAGCCTGATAAAGGTTTTTTGCATAAGCAAATCATATTACTGTATATATATCAAGTTTTTGAAGCATCTTTAGGTGGCCTTTTGGTTTTTATTTATACATAGACAACTTGTGCATATGCATATCCATGTTTTGTCATTAATGTCTTTATTTCTTCATAGATATCATGAAGGTATGGCTCAAAGATAACAGCTTTTGCCTTCATGAGTTCCCAGTCCCTGGTAAAGCAATTATTTTGCGGCATAACATGAAGTCTGAATGGAAATCACTTTTCATTGCCAGCATTGTTGAGTCTTCAGAATATACAAAGGAAAATCAAAAGTCACTCACACTTTCTTTTTCAAGTGTAAATGATTTTAGCAAGTGGGAAAAAGAGCTTAGGGGAAATTTAAAAGGTAATTTGAGAACAAATATTCTCTATCTTTCAATGGATAATTTACAAGACCCAATAATGGGTATCACGCACAATTTTTTTAGTAGTTAGTTGTTAGCAGTTAATGAATAACATTTAAATGTTTTGCACTTTTTGGGAAACTATACTGCTTGAGATTTTCGAACGAATTAAGACTTAGTAGTGCAATGAGGGCAAAATTTGTGAGTTTAAAAATAATAATAATAATAATAGAAATATTTAGACAGGGTAAAACCTTTTCAGTGCCAAAGGCACTGTTATCAATAAGGGCCCTGTTTAGGTGATTAGTTTGTGTTGAGCAGTATTAGTTTCCCAAAAAAAAACAAATTAGATGGTAAATGAGGTAAATCTAATTTCAAGTTTCTTTTCAGTTCTAAGTAAAATAATTAACTAAAAACAGTTTTTGTACTTTTCAGTATTAACTGGAAACATTTATGTCATCTATAGCTGTCTTGAAGTTATTTAATGACTGACTTTCCCGGACATAAGGAGGAAGTTCATTCCCGATTTTAATAGACGTTGGGACAAATGAAAATTTTTTAACAGTTTGTTCTGCAGAAAGGTAGGATAAAAACTGTTTGACTTTACAAGAATGACAAGAATATTGTGTGATTTTTAGGTTCTGTTAACAATTCAAAGTAAAGTAAAGTTCTTGAAATTCAGACATCACAGCCCATATTATTGATAAGGAGAAATTTATGGGGGAGCTAAGCCCCTCAGCCCCCAGCTTTGTTGGTTTTAGCATATTCTGTGTTGATTGTTACTTCAATGCTTATCTCATTTTGCTTTCAAAGTTATAGGGAGATTTGTGTTCTAGGAGCATTAATCAGAAAAAGTGCTGTGTTGCTAAATGTTTTTGTTCAATGCCAGGGGTGCTTTGGGATTGAGGTGGCTCAGCCACTTTATTGAAATTGAAAAAGATTTTGAGGGTTCAAGGCCCCTTTTTGACAAAGCAGTATGTTTTCGGTTGGCAAATTCCTTTCTTGGCAATTTGAATTTGAATTAATTACAAGGAGAGGCACATGAGCTCGATCAAGCATCTCCAAATGCACCTAGAAAATTCTAGGAGCTTGATTGATTGAATAAGTATGTTTATGATGTCTAAAAAACAAATCAAACCAAACCGAATTTTGTTATTGAAAATATTTGATGATGCTCAGTCATGGGCCTAGAGGCCTAGAGGGCTGAAGGTGCTCTGTTTGTGAAGTGCCTGCTTTTTGCTCCTGACAAGGCTTGATTATAGCTTATTCTGGAATCATAACAAAATAATGAATAAGTTTTTCAAAGAAATATCTGTTGATGTATAAGGCTACTAAATAAAGAATGCCATTGCATCAGCTCTGCTGGAGACATTACTGAGGGTATCTAGCTTATCAAGAGATGAAATGATTATGTCCAAGGAATCAATTTTTTCACAACTTTTGGATCTGAACTATACAATCTTAAAGAAAACCACAGAACAAATGTTTTAATCATTTGCGCCATTTGAAACTGGTGTAAATGTCTGAAGCATGAAAATTATCAAAGTATGTTGTTTTTAAAATTCCCCCTTTTTTTCCTCATACAGTTTCACCTTCTATTCAAGTCATATTGTCAATTTATATTGTACGATGCTCCAGCTAGTAATATTATGAAATCTTATCTGAAAGATGGTCAATGAAAGGGCTGAGTTTCCAAATATAAGTTGTTTTGTCTAGGTTTATAGCTTTTGAAATAAAGACTAAGTACTTTCGCAAATATTTATGATTCTCAAGTTTCAGAAAACTATTTTGCTCACATTAAAGTAGAAAAAAGTTAATATAGTTGAAAAATACCATTTCCAGATTCCTTGCAAATGAGAATGCCTGTGCACACTAAAGTATGCTCTTTATACCTCTTTTGAAGTTAAACCAAGGTGTTCCCATATCAACTGGCTACATATTGTCGAGCAAAATTCGTTCCGTCATTCTAACACAGAGAAAGACAAAAAGATGCAAAAGCAATCACAAGCAAATCTCCCTACGGATCCTCATTTGCTGTCTCTCTTTAGCCTGCCCAGATGCTTAGCGCTACAAACTTTTTATTCTTCCTATGTTCCTAAGAAAATCTCAAGTAATATTTATCTAAGACTCATTTGCCTAAACAATGCTATACATGCAATCACTGCTAAAATTACCGAACCATAATGAATTAGCATTTGAAAATCATACTTTCTTTTGTAGTTTATTCTTGCAACGTGGAAATTGAAAAAAATCAAACATTGCCAGAAGGGCCTGCAGTGGTACATGTGACGTCAGACTACATATATATAACAGCAGACAATGACGGTCGGAGATACAAGTCACTTTATTGTGAAAGTGTGAGAAAAAACAGTGTTGTGTGTTATTCAGATGGTTCTGAAATGTTTCATTTTTTAGAAATTAAAAACAGAAATGGGTGCTGCGAAACGATCAAATTCAAGTCAAAAAACGTTTCTGTTATCAAAAGAAGTTTAAATTTTTTTGCGAATCTTCCTGTTGGGAAAAATATGTCATCTGGGCGCTGCTCTAATATCGAGACTGTGAAAATGAATAATAATATTGATCAGGTGATTCCAGTTGTGAAAAGCGAAAACAGAGCCGTCGTACACAAGTGGTACTCGCGCAATGAAATACGCTGTTATGAAACCGCTACTGTTAAAAGTGATGAATGTAGGACATACCAAAGTCTAGTTAGATCCGGAAGCCCGTGCCTCTACAGCTATGTTTCTTTAGATTGCAATTTGAGCTCAGAAGATGCCCAGGAAACAAATCAACCAACAATTAAGGTGGCAGATTTTCAGCCTCTGTCTAAAACTAAAGAAGAAGTAAAATGCAAACGATCCTGTGATGATAGAGCTGGCGAGAATACAGATGTATTTTCAGTACAGGAAGAAGAAAATCGCATCCTGCATTCATCTAAGAAGAGGGAAACAAGGGAAAAGGTCGCTGAAGAAAGCTGTTCAGTTGACTATGATAGACTAAATATGCAAAACGATAAATCAACGAAATCAGTCGTTGACTTTAAAACTACGGCAATGAAATGTGGATCAGAGTGCACCAAAACTGGCGGGTGTTTATCTTCAGATTATGAATACAATGACAATGAATGCGAAAAGATAGGTAAAGCTCAAGGCACGAAGCCCTGTAAGCCAATGCGTCAAATCGAAATATACAAATACAGTGATGAGCCATTGGTGTTGTGTCGTTCTTCTCGAGCTGAAAAAAGTGGATCGCTTTCACCTTCTGCATCTGATCCATTGATCGATAATTTGGACAGCCCAACAAAAACTGATGTTTATGATCATTTAAGTCGATCATGTTCTGACAGAAGGACTTCACGGTTAGAAGATTGGACCCCAAAAGGTCTTCCTCCAATATTCAAGCGAGAGCATCCTGGTTCACCGAAGCCAGAAAACCATTGGTATCAAAACGGGGGTTGTGGTTCACATAACTCTTTTAACGAAGTTTTTCGAAAAGTGAGTTCCTTCGTTTCCTCCTTGATATATTAGCATATCAAAATAAGATTCAACTGCTAAAAAGCTACATGTATCCAACTATAGGTCCGTTTCACTGCTGTTTTTGCACTAAGTTTAGTGTCAAAGTTAGTGTCAAAGTTTAGTGTGCACAAAGTTCTAGATTATTTTCACTAGTTTGCGCCAAAACCTCATAAGCTACGTTTAAGAGATCATTACCACCCTATATGTTGTTCTTATATAAAGTTGATAAGTGCCTTTATTGGATTGCTGTTCGTTGATTTGCTTTGTTCCTGCTCACTTACTCTGTACGATTTCACTTCAATGCAAGATTTTTAGAATCGGTTTGCAGCTTTGTTGATGTGAGCTGCAGCAAGAAAAAGTCAACCGATGTTTTCATTATTCTAGGATCCAATAGAAATCTTCGTGCTTTTGTATGCAAATGGAATGACTAGTGGCGGAGTATGGACCATAGGGGTGTTGATTGTTAAGAGCCAAGACAACGAAACATTCAAGGTACGGTAACTAGAAGCCGCTTAAGAATGATGCGTCTTATTCAAAGCATTGAATGTGCTTATTACATCATCCTAAAGGTTGCCTGAAGGAGTTTAATATGATGATTTGCAAGTGGCTTGAGAACAGCTATGATAAAATGACATTAAAACTTCTTCAAGACCTGTATTGAACAGCATAATTCGTGGCTTTCCATTTGTGTGTTAGACCAAGTTGCTGTGAAAACTTCTTGCAAGTTGCTTGATAGTGTATTTGTGACGGAAGCCCTATCCGCGGTTTAAGATATATCATTGATTCAGGATTTTCTGCATTTGTTTTCTAGATATGCTTTCTGGGCACTTTTTTCTTTCTTTTTTGAATGATTGGATGTTGAAAAATAATGATGACTTTGTTTACTTCAAAGCTTATCCAAGATCTAGAAAATGACTTTGGAAGAAAACAATTGTGTACACCCCGGCTATTAGATGCTGAGTCAGACATTGCAGTGGGTATCAAGGAATGCAGCGATGGGTTTGACGTCATAAACAACAAATCGCAAGTAAGATTGTATGCACTTTTCATTATTTTCATATTACATCTTCACAGGGTGTACAATCTCTTGTTCTTCATTGAAACATAGCGACTAAACATTGTTTTTATTATCTTGAACCATACAAGCAGTTCTTAACTGTTCTTCATTGAAACATAGCGACTAAACATTGTTTTTATTATCTTGAACCATACAAGCAGTTCTCAACTGCTCTTCATTGAAACATAGCGACTAAACATTGTTTTTATTATCTTGCACCACACAAGCAGTTCTCAAATGTTCTTCATTGAAATATAGCGACTAAACATTGTTTTATTATCTTGCACCATACAAGCAGTTCTTTACTGTTCTTCATTGAAACATAGCGACTAAACATTGTTTTTATTATCTTGCACCATACAAGCAGTTCTCAACTGCTCTTCATTGAAACATAGCGACTAAACATTGTTTTTATTATCTTGAACCATACAAGCAGTTCTTAACTGTTCTTCATTGAAACATAGCGACTAAACATTGTTTTTATTATCTTGCACCATACAAGCAGTTCTCAACTGCTCTTCATTGAAACATAGCGACTAAACATTGTTTTTATTATCTTGCACTATACAAGCAGTTCTTAACTGTTCTTCATTGAAACATTGCGACTAAACATTGTTTTTATTATCTTGCACTATACAAGCAGTTCTTAACTGTTCTTCATTGAAACATTGCGACTAAACATTGTTTTTATTATCTTGCACTATACAAGCAGTTCTTAACTGTTCTTCATTGAAACATAGCGACTAAACATTGTTTTTATTATCTTGCACCATACAAGTAGTTCTTAACTGTTCTTCATTGAAACATAGCGACTAAACATTGTTTTTATTATCTTGCACCATACAAGCAGTACTTAACTGTTCTTCATTGAAACATAGCGACTAAACATTGTTTTTATTATCTTGCACCATGCAAGCAGTTCTTAACTGTTCTTCATTGAAACATAGCGACGAAACATTGTTTTTATTATCTTGCACCATACAAGCAGTTCTTAACTGTTCTTCATTGAAACATAGCGACTAAACATTATTTTTATTATCTTGCACCACACAAGCAGTACTTAACTGTTCTTCATTGAAACATAGCGACTAAACATTGTTTTTATTATCTTGCACCATACAAGCAGTTCTTAACTGTTCTTCATTGAAACATAGCGACTAAACATTATTTTTATTATCTTGCACCACACAAGCAGTACTTAACTGTTCTTCATTGAAACATAGCGACTAAACATTGTTTTTATTATCTTGCACCATACAAGCAGTTCTTAACTGTTCTTCATTGAAACATTGCGACTAAACATTGTTTTTATTATCTTGCACTATACAAGCAGTTCTTAACTGTTCTTCATTGAAAC